CCCCTCCTCCCCCTCCAACGCCGCAGAGTCCCGAAGGTCCCCGCCACCCCTACACCATGACCCCCTTTGGAGGGGGCCGCGCCGCCAGACCTCCCCCTCGCCTTACTACGTTACGCCTCTCCTATACTACGCCCCCCTCCCCACCGCGACTCCAGCGCGGGTCCTCGAGGGGTTAAATGGTCCTAGTGATATGACCAGATCGGTGGCGGTAGGCGAGAGGGAGCGGAGGGGGAAGACCACGCGCGCACACACACATACACACACACAGGCACACGACTGATGGACGGATGGGTAGACTAACAGAACAGACAGTGGGGCGCCCCGGTGGTGGGGGTACGCGCCCCTCCCCCTGGCGGTCCCAGCCGGGCTGCGCCCGGCTGTGCTGTGCCGCTCAGTGCTCAGCACGGCCCGGCCCGGCCCGCCAGCAGCACGGCCAGCTCTCGGCCGCGCATCCCAGCGCAGCTCAGCGCCCCGCGCGCACCCCCGGCAGCCTCGGCGGGCGCCCTGGGTGCCGCTGGCGCTCCCCCGGCCCCGTCGTCGGGAGCCCCGGGAGGCGGCCCGCACCACCCGCTGTCCTGGACGCCGGCGCCGTGGACGCGAGCAGCAGTGACGCCGCCGCCCCGACGACCACGACGACGCACGCGACGCCGCCCTGGTTCCCGTGGGCGTCGCCGCCGCCGTCCCCCTCGTCGCCGTCGGCAACCTCGCGCGCGCGCCGCGAGCGGCAGCAGCAGCGGCAGCACCTGCATCAGCAGGCGGCGCACCAGCTCGTGTTCCTTCGAGAGAATGACGGAGTCCTGTTCGTCGGCGGCGGCCTGCACCAGGACGAGCAGGAGCCGGCGATACACGCCACCCTGAGCGTGAGTCAGTCCTCATCAAACTGAACACGGTCACGTGTATGCGAAACATGGCAATAACGAAGGAGTATATGGAAGACTTCAGTGTTCGATCGCGGACCGTTCCTCTCAGTGAAACGTTGAAAACACAATACAGTGTTTTCTACATATGTAATAGAAACTGTTATAAAGATCCCTTTTGTGAATCAGTCGATACATAACAGGCGTGTTTCTGAAAAAAAAGGAGTATTTTGAGACCCAAATAAATGAACGCATCTTTATAAATATTGGAGCAAATTAAAAGAAGAGACTGGTCCCAAATTAGCATCATCTGCTTTCCCAATCCGTTTCTTAACGGATTTGGTTAAAATTGGAGTTGCACGCGTAGGAGCTCTAGGATTACTTTATCGACTGACAATGACGTCCAATGCGCGTTGTAAACAGTCCTAGCCCTCCGCCCCCCCCCCCCTCGTTTCCTGTAGTGCGGTCATCCGGCGGCGCACGCGTGCTGTGTGTGTGGCCAGCAACAGTCGACTCGTAAAGGCCGTGAATGTGGCGAATGCCACCCTCTCCTTCCCCCTCCTCACCAACGGGGACTATTTACTCGTCTCTCAGCCTCGCACTACTACCCTCGTCTCTAATCCTACTTCTACCCACACTCTGTGTAAGGCATCGCAGACGTAGATGCATCCGTAATGCCGACTCTGTCGGGAAACCTACCAGCTACCAGCCCAATGATGTTGACAGGAATTGGGCTCTTTATTTTAAGCTTTCATTTCGTAGCTCAAGAGGAAGAGGAGGTATGAAATATGGATGACTCTTGTATTTGAGCGTTCGGACTGAACATCCTCCGGGCATACGGGTAGTGGGGGTTGCTGGGTTACAGGGCACGTTAGCGAGCCTTATTGGAAATCCTATTGTGCAAATGTTTCACCTGCTGCAGGTGCACAGTGTAAAACTAACTTCGATGTCCACCTCTTCGTTGGCTGAGCTGTAGCGGAGCACTTTAGCCCTTTCCTACTGTATCGGTTTCACGCGCGTTTGTGTGCATCTGCCTGTCCGTCTTTCTGTGCGCACGATAACTCGATAACGGACCCCAGGTAGCAGAACTGCATAAAATGTGCATTTTCTGTCCAATCTGAAAAGGGCATAAAACACTTGTAGGCGCCTAAAATGCGCGTTTCAGATGGGACATTTAATGCGGTTTGAATTCAGTTTGCTTCGTTTTGATACCTGGGATTAGGCTACGGATCTGAAATTTTAGTCTTGATTTCTCTCATTAACTAATCAAATTTTGCTTCAGACAGCCGATAAAATAGTACCCTTCGTACATCACGTCACTTTCACCACGCGTTGCATGTTGTTATCCAAAGGCCCAAACGTCCCATTTTGCCTTTGTCCTGACACCCGGATGACAGCCGTTAGGTAATCCGACTCGTCTAATCCGATGAAATTCGAAAAATTCCGGGGTAATCCGGGAAAGTTTTAGGGAAAGCTGGGGTGATCCCAAGGAAAACGCAACGTAATCCGGCAGATACCCCAGAACTAATCCGGGTAATCCATAATTCAGCTGACACAAAGATTGACAGTTGTTTCCCCCTCGCGTGTACTTCTACCTAGTATTTTTCTGGCAACTCCCTGAAATGCAAGGGGATCATCCGATTCTCAAAATCAGGCACGTGCTTCGAATTAGTAAACAACCTGTTCGTTTAATACCACTTTCAGCGTGTAAATGAAAAGCCTGGCCCTACAATGTGTAGGGTAGTGTACGTTCAACGCTACACCATAAATCTTGCAAAACGTCCGACTTCTTCCTGTCATGTATTGGCATTAGAAAGTTTCCAGCCCCCCCCTCCTCACCCGTCACTGCCCCACTCACCTGCCCAATTTCGTCCCCTGAATTCATAAACTGTTTTGAGGTTTGGGTATGGGTCGGGTGTGGAGACTTGTTCTTGTGGACGAACAGGTACTTGCTGCACAACACACCCCACACGACGATGCGGGTGGCTCCTAGCCCTCGCTCCCTGGCTCTTGCCCCCCCC